TTTCCCTTTTTCTGTTTCTCTCTGGTGAGTGCACTGCTGTATGGCAACACCCCCCCAAAAAAGAAAAATGAAACAAAAACAAGCGGCTGGCAGGCGGCACAGTGGTTAAGGAACTGAACTCCCCCATGGTTAAACGCAATTTGAGTCCTGGATCCAGTGGTTTGAAACTCATGCTGGGTGTGTGTGCGTGTGTGCCCAAAATCCTGACAGAGAACGGAGGAGGGATTGTGGCATGGCCATCTCCCCTGGGGGGTGATTTCTTGATTTTTATCTCTCTTCATCTCTCCAGTGAGCACAGGTGCCCTATAGCAAAAAACCAACCAACCAAACCAACAAAACAAAAAAACTCTTAAAACAAAAGCAAAACCAAACAAAACACTTCACAACTGGTTGCTTTATTTATGGGTTAATGATGAAATTTGCTAAACCATGAACATAACCCATAACATCTGAATGTACTCTTAAGTAAATTAGCTATAAAATGAAAGCATAGAATTGCAATCCGACCCTCGGTTCTTACCCTAGTTACTATGGCGGGTATCTGTTTATTTTTATTGACAGTTTGTCTGCGTCGGTGGGAGCCCCAACAGAATGAAATCATTTGCACTGTTTATGCACAAGGAGCTTGGCCTGGGGGACGATGGGGATGACATGAAAGACATCTGTGCTGGGACAGACAGATACTGCATGTACAAAGCCGGCCCCGTGCTCTCCATCAGTGTAAGTGTCCAGTGGTTACGTTTCAGGCTGGCGGATACAGCAGGAACTTTTGAAGATAGTTCTTTTCTCCCTCCTGCTTTGCATTCTTACACAATTAAACTAAGTGTCTAGGTATGACATTCATGATTGGAAAAAGTCCTCAGGGCAGTACAGAACATGCAATGCCACTTCCGTTTTGTTAGTTACTCCTTAGAAGTTAGGGGGAAACCCTCAAAGCACACTTCCCCCTTTCTATTTTGTAACTGATTAACACTCTCACCTTCCAGCAATTTTCTCTCCTCGATCCCTCATCCAGCTTGGGGAATGTTGAGCTGTTAGTACACAGAGGCCAATTTTCAGGACTGCTAAAGTGGTGATGTTAACACTGTAATAAGCTCGCTGAAAAGCTGCTAATGCATTGCCACGGAGCTCTTGTGAACTGCTCTCCTGCATTTAGAATGTTTTAGCAGTTCTGGACACATGCAGTGTCCTAAGACACAATGAAAGTGCCGTGATTTGCAGTTTTAAGGACTATGTGGACCACTTCCCCCCGGACCCAGAAGCCATACACTTAGGAGGGTGTATGAACACGTGCACTCAGATTTGCCTTTCCTAGCTTGTCTCTACACAAGCCTGTACTTTAAAACAACCGCTTTGACTCCATCACATATCTGGACACCATATCGCTCACAAAAGGCACAGGCAGAAATGTTAGGGGACGGGGGAAGAGCCTACTGCAGAAAAGTGTCAGTTCAATGGAGCGGCATTGTAAGTGGCTCCCATGCCCGGCAACAGTCACCATCCATTGATCACACTGCAGCACCAGGGGACAGAGTGTGGGTGACCGCGACTGGAACCCTGGGGAAAGGAGGGAAAGCTTCGTAATGCCAGTGGGGTAGTTAGATTGAGCCAAACCTGTGGGCTCACATGTGAGAATCCATTCATTTACTTATTTATTCATCAAATAAACAATGATAGAATATCTACTTTAGAAGAAAGCCAAAAGTCCTCCGGGCTTGGCAGACCTTGTCTTATTAACCTTTGCTGGATTTTTATATTATAATTGCCCTTTTGGCACAGAAAAGGGGGAGGGATGGAACAGTCAAGTGTATAAAAATGTGAAACTATGATAAACAGTAAAACTTCCGAGTAAGATACAGAGCACTGAATGGATCCTGCTGTCCTGGCAAGGAGAAAGAGCTGAAGTACGTATTATGTTGAGAGATGAGTCAAATAGAAGCAGGTCTTTCTAGGTTGGCAAGAGGTTCTCAACTGGGACTCCTTCGATGACGTTTCCTCTCTGGTAGCTACCGGGGAAAGACAACGAACTGCCTGAGGTGATGAAAGCGTTCACGGCATAGAAATCGAATACGCTCACTGTAAGTATTACTCTGTGTGTGCGCGTGTGTGTGTATGCGTGTGTGTGTGTGTGTGTGTGTGTAAGAGAGGGAGAACACAACTTTAGCAAAGACACACAAATCCACTTGTCATTTTATCATCATGTCGCATAAGGGAAAATCATAAACCTATCAAGTGCCTGATTTGGAAAAAATCCAATAGGTAAAATAATAGTTCATACTCTTCATTTACAGTTGAGGAAAATGATATTACAGAGTTTACTCACTAACTACAGATCCAGTGCCCAAACCCCAAACTCGTTACTGTAAAAACACTACTCGCTGCAGGTTTGATTCCTCACTGTGCGTTCTTACTGTGAACGCACTTACTGTGCGTTCACAAGTCAGAGGACATTCGGTGGGTAGGGACCCAAAGACTCGAAGTTTCCATAGCGTGATATTCTTCCTGATGCCAGGGAGGGGATCAGGTGGAAACATCATGGACACAGCTCCAGCGGCCCTCCCAAGTCTTTATGCCCAAGAGGACAATATGTTGAGGATCACATTTGACTCTGTTGTTATGGTAGGAATGACGTAGCTACAATTTTAGACTCAGTCCCAGGTTTTGCAAATTATGACATGGAGGATCTTTCTGGGGAGTTATTAGAACAACCACCAGGAGTGACTAAGTCCTCTCACCTGTGTTGCTCCCCGTTCTGGAGACACTGACTTCACTTTTCTAAATGCTGAGGGAAACTGGGGTTACTGTCACGAGCTATAGCAAAGTAACCCCATCTGCACATTCACTGTGTGTGTGCTTCACATTGCTAGTGAGGCTCTGTCCCACGTTCTACCCTAGTCCCCTGCAGGGCTCACACTGAAATAGCGGCAAATGGACAAGGGGACACATGGGCTCACTATTTCATTTAGTATGGTGGAAAAGAGACCAGGGACATGGCAGCCAAAATTCTATTTTCTTGAAATCAAGTCGGTCTGCAAAAAGCTCTTTTTGAAAGGTTCATCGAAAGATGAGAAATGGCCGTGCCCTGCACACTTGTACACCACCCCACCCCACCTTCTGCTCTTGACGATGAGGGCTGGACTCAATCTAACAGGCAGCGAGACGCCGCTCTCTGATCCTCACAGATGGACACATCCATCAGCGTGTCGTGCAGGCGTCAGTTAGAGATGACTTACATTCTCCTCGGTATTGGCAAAGTCCTAATGATTATGTAAATTTATCTGAGGGCTGTTAACCTGTAATGAGGGAAGAAAATATGTCCTGTTCATGTATCAGTTTGCAAGATATATAATGACACTCTCTTTTCTCCTAACAGCATGGCATGGGCATTCCCTCCATTTCTATTATGCTTCATGAACTCATCAAATTACTCCACCACGCACGCTGCTGTGACGTTACTATTATCAGAATTGGTACATCAGGGGGAATAGGTAAGACAGATTGATGTTTACCATTAAAACTGTGTGCATTTGAAATATACCGGTATACTTGGAGTCCAGCAGAAACTCAGATGGGTGAAAAAGTGTCAGGAGGATGGACTTATGGAAACTTAAGGGAATATCCCCACATTACCTGTTTTCCTCTTTTCTTCTCAATGGAAATCCAGAGAGAGAAGTCCCACTGCCTATTGCTCAGATGGTCTCAGGTGTTTATAAAGGGAAGAGTAGAGTTACTAGAAAATATGTTTTGAGGGTAAGAGTACATTTTTTTAAAAGGTTTTGCCTGGGACACATGCACTCACTAGAGAGAGATAAAGAGAGACAGACACGTGAGAAGGAAAGTAAGAAATCACACCTTAGGGGAGATGGCCATGCCACAATCTCTTCTCCTCCATTCTCCTCCTGGGATCTCGGGCACACATGCACATGCACCCAACGTGCTTTTCAAGCCACCAGCTCAGGACTCAAACCATGGTCAGCCATGTGGGCATCCAGCAATGTAACTGCTATGCCACCTGCTGGTCCCCGTAAGAGTATATTTCAAAGCTTAGGAATTTTATAAGAGGTATAAATAATTGTGTTCACGAAGAAAAAAAATATTGCAAAGATTTGTCTGATCTCTCAGCTAAGTAAGCATACTTCATAGCTCTTAGGAAAACCTTCTTCAGCTCATCTCGGTGACTCCAACCCTTTCCTTGGCTGTGCTGTTTCCTCGTCAGTGCTCTGGAAAGAGACCAGTATGGGCTTTTAGGAAAAAGCCAACTGATGCTTTCTGAGGTTTTCTCAGAGTCTTCCCACCTCCCTTCTTCCTTGGCTGGTCAGACAGCTATAAAGGGACCTTGTTTATATTTCTAGACTATGCTGAGTTACAGTTTTGAGGAAACTTCCTTTCCAGCCTCCTCTTAGCGTGCAGATCTTGTTAAATGCAAAACTGAACAGGACATTATATCTGGAAAGGTTTGCCTGACAGAATGGCAGGACTAAATGGGCAGTATGAAAAGGACTGTGATTCTGGAAGACTGGTCTTAGAATTACATATTTTCAGAGTAAAATGGGACCTCAGAAATCCTCAAAGAATTAGAGAAGTGGCATGTCCAATGTCATAGAACTGTTGATGGCTGAGCTGTGCCTCAGGAGAATCAGACATGTTTGAAGAGATCATGGGCTTCCCACAGCTGAGGTTCAGGAATAAAGATCAGCCAAGGTCCCCTCACATGGGAGAAAAAGGGACACTCATGGTTGTCCATCCTGCGAGAAGAATGTTAGTAATCAGCGTTAGATCAGGCATCCTTCCCGACTTTAGTTTACCTGACAATTCCCCAAATAATCAACAGTAGGGAGCAATGCAGGTGAGGATGAGATGGATCACATTGCTATTAAGATTGCTCATAATTCTTGAATTATGGGATACCCATGCATTATACCATCCTGACAGCTGCAATTGTCACTTAATGTTAATGAGTGACCAGCCTCGGGCCAAGTGGTGATGCAGTGGTAATACTACTGGACCCACATGGGAAAGGTCATGGGTTCACAATCTGGGACCTTTCTTTATGGTCCCATTCTGGGCATATATGCTCCTGTGAACTAGGTCAGCTGAGAACGGGGATGGATCTCATGTGAAGAGCCTGTGGGTGGTGTCTATTTGCCTGTCTCCCTCATGGAAGAAATAAATAAATAAATACATAAATAAATAAATAAATAAATAAAGTTTTGAAAAATGAATGTCCAGCCTGGACAAGGCATTCTGTTGACCATCCAGCTCGTGGTCACGGCCTTTGTCTCATGGCAACATGATACACAGAGCACACGGGCAATACAAATGTCACAACAAAGGCCCAAGAATGCGGCCAAATTGAACCACTCTGCTCGTGTGCACACATTTTTTTTTTTTTTTTAAGTTTTGTCCTCATTAAGAGCTCCCAGTTTATCAGTAAGGGATATTTGGTAGTTTTGTTTTTAGAGTATTGCATCTGAACATGAGAAAGGTACAGCCTATTTCTTTGCTGATATTATCACTCCTTAAATGAGCCAACACAACTTGATAAAGATAAATTACTTGATTAAATGATATTTTGGCCTTTCAGAAACTTTAACCATGACATAAATGCCTTAATGCACCTAAAGATTAGGATGGCATGTGAATAACATCACCTCTGATGCACATGTTTTCAACTTCCTTCTCAATCACTTTCCTCTTCTTAGGATATTATGAACAATTCAGGGAGCTACTTATTCAGTTTATTTAAAAAGCATCTGATTCATCATGGCTTTACCGTCAGTGGTCACCCTAGGTCTCTAGCTGGACCTTCTAATGTGCTATGTAATTAACTCCTCTTCGATCCATATTGAATTTGTATCACCCAGGCTAGGCTCTATAGAAGAGATTAGCAATATTTTTCCTGTAAAGGTCCAGATAGTAAATATTTTTGACTTTACAGATCCTGTGGTTTCTGCTGCATCTTCATAAGTCTGCCACAGTAGCTGATAACCAGCCATAGACTGTGTTAATGTGAATGCACATGACTTTGTCCCAATAAAACTTTATTAACACAGACAAGTGAGATTTGGGCTATGGACTATAACATGAGCATGTATTTTATGGCATCTCCATGGGAGCATTCGTTCATTCAGCAATTTTTTATTGAGTGCCTATAATGTGATAGGCCCAGTTCTAGACCTAGAGAGACAGCAGAGAACATTGGTCTTTTCTTTATATTTTATCAGAGCAATAAATAACAAATAGGTGATTATAAGAAGTCTGATGAGTGTTAGGACAGAGAGAATCTAGGGCACTATTAAGATATATCTCCTTACTCTCCTTATTCAGTCTCTAGATAGAAATCAGAATGGATCAAAAGCTGGATGAAAGTTGGGCCTGGAAAAGTTTAATGAAACCTACTATGTTGGTTTTTAATTTTGTTGTTTCCCCTCCAAGAATTCAGATCTATTGGAGAAAGTGACTTAAGCTGACACCCAAAGATTGAGTTGGTATTTGATGTCTAGGTGTGGGAAGGATGAGAGCATTGCAGACAGGGAGAATAATGGTTGGCAGAAAATGGTTTCTCAAGGAAGCCCAAGTCCCTCAAGCAGGCCAGACTTGGTAGAGATGGAAGGTCAGCCAAGAGATATAATTTACATGGAGTCAGAGAAGAGGGAACGAATGTGATGAGAATCAGAAGGGAGAGAGAATAGAAATGCAAGGAAATTATAGTAATCAAGGAGTTGCAGAGAAGATTAAATAGCAAGTAGTCACATCACTTTATGAAAGCTAGTTGCTGGCAAGCTCATTTAGTTTATTCCTGACCTAATTTATTCAAATTTGAGCCTGAAGGCTGGTACTAATTTGCATGTCCAAGAGTCATGTTTGTCTTGAAATCGAAACCCCATCACACTGGAAATGTGTATCTGGAAAGACAGCGAATGTAAATGCCTGTTCTGAATGTTATTTAATTGCATTTGGATAAGAAAATAATTTTAAAGATGAATATAGAGAGAATCATTATCAACTAGCACTAATTAATGTTGGCAGGATAGGCTATATGCTATGTGTCAAAGTAAACTCTAAATGATATAATAAATCTCTTATTTATTCCCATATTGCAGGGATCGCACCAGGCTCTGTTGTAATAACCGATACAGCTGTAGACTCCTTCTTTAAGCCCCGCTTTGAACAGGTTATCTTGGACAACATCGTCACCCGAAGTACTGAACTTGACAAGGAACTGGCTGAAGAACTGTTCGACTGTAGCAAAGAAATCCCCAACTTCCCGACCCTCATTGGACATACAATGTGTACCTATGATTTTTATGAAGGTGAGAAGGATTTATCAACTGCGAAAGGCACACAAAAAAATATGCCAGCAATCCTTTGTTATTCAAACCCATAATTTACATTAAAAACTTGACTTAAGAAAATTAATAGTTGTGGATTGAAAAGGGAACTGAAACAGCCTTCTTTACTTACTAAAGCATGGGAAAATAAGGACATAAAAAGCAGCAGAGAACCACTCAAAATGAATTTATATTGGGAGTGGGTTTAATCCTTTAGGAATAAATTGAATACCAAAAGGCGATTTAGTGAGGTTGGCAAAATCTTATCCCTGTTTATTTAAATTTGATTTAACTAATCTTTAAGTTGAACTCAAGAAGAAGGGAAATATATTGATATGTGTTTCTGGCATTCACCAGTACCTCACAAGAGACCTGGTAATCAAGAACAAGTGGGGACCAGGAAATGGGGAGAAATGTTTCAGGAAACAAATCCTACAGTGATGGGGTAGTCTTAGAGTGGTGTTTTTTTGGTTTTTTTTTTTATCTCCCAGCCATGAGGAAGGGGTACCCAAACCAAGTTTCAAGGAAAACTGAATGTGATGTCCAAGTAGGAGTTCTTGCTACAGGGCAAGGGGCCTGGGCTCAGGGGAACCTTTAAGGGGAGAACCAGCTCATTCCAGAAGAAAGAATCTAAACAAGGCTGGTACCATGCCTTGACGAGCATAAAAGCATTCTGGGAATCTTGAAGTACAGTATGTTCATATCAAATCCATGTTCTTTCATTATAAATTTCTTTTCCCTATGGACAAAAGTGCCTTTGTATTTGTTATAAAATAGGAGGGGCTTTGGGTCTGACTGAGTGAGACCCTCTGTTGTAAGCTACTGGCTCACAGACTCTGCCTCTAGAGGATGGCCCACCAATGCGTTTAAGCCAGAGTCTGCAAATGGCAGCCTGTCAAAGTTTTATTTTTCTTTCTTTCTTTCTTTTCTTTTTTTTTTTCTTTTTTGCCTACACAGTATTTTTCAGAATGTGAATATTTTGTCAACATTTATAATTCTTGGAGATTTCATATGAAAATTCATATTTTTGGCTCTTTGAAATCACATAATGTAACATAAAAAAATATATAATAGTGTATGCATGACAGCCCTGGTGAACCCTGGCCCATCACTGAAGCTACATTTGCCGACAGTAGGGTGAGGCCACGCCCTTGTTGACATCACCTGTTGGCTTCTGGCACTAAGTTCGAATCAGTTTAAGTAACACTTGTTTAGAGGTGCTGGCAGGCAGCTGTAAAGAGGGGTACAAGAGGCAGCAGACTGCCGGGGTGGAAGTAGCATGAAAGAGAGAAAAGGAAGATTAAGAGGGGAATGGGTAGAAGGATTGTGCAAATAATGGAAGGGGACTATTATTAGCCACCTGCTTCCAGCCAGGCCCTCCTTGGGGGTAGGCAGGGGATGGGAGGTCTGTTTCTGGGTACATGCAGGGTGGAGGGGGAGTAATGGCATCAGGTTTTTTTTCCCCTTCTTCTGTCCCTGTTGGTTGATATAGGTGCAATTGATAAATGAACACAGAATAGCTTGGAAAAGAAAAAGTGATCACACGGGAAGGCATGCAGCCTGGGAGGTGTGTGGTAGGAAGGAGGGTGGGCCAACTGATTGTCTGCATAGGCTCCCACCATTATGATGGGCACACGGGGTAACATCCCTGGTTCTCAAGTGGATTGTGAGCACTTCTGAGACACAGTGCTCCATCTTCTCTAAAACCTGTCCCTGGACCGTGCCCCAGTCACTGGGCAACCTGACATTGTCCTCAGCGAACAGCTCTCTCAGCAACTCCCCATGTCATGATGTCCCTGGGCACAGGGCATGCTGCTACACCCACTTGGTGGCCACTGGCTCCTGAACAAATGCACTCAGCCATGGACACTCCGTCCTACACATGAGCCCTGGTTGACAACAAGCCCCTTGGTGATGCCACTGCTGCTAAAGTGGGATGTTAAGTCAAGAAATATTATCTATTCTCTTTCAGGCCAAGGAAGGTTAGATGGAGCACTGTGCTCCTTTTCCAGAGAAAAGAAGTTAGATTACTTGAAGAGAGCATATAAGGCTGGCGTCCGGAACATTGAGATGGAATCTACAGTGTTTGCAGCCATGTGTGGACTCTGTGGTCTGAAAGGTGAGCTTTTCATGCATGCCAAGGGTCAGTCTCCTCTTTCATCATTTATTTCCACTCTTCACAGTAAAAAGGGGGCTAGCTATATAATTACTTTGGGTTAAATGTATGCCTTGTAACTATTTATAATATGTGTTATCTCATAATGTCTTCTGAATGGAAATTATTCCCCAGCGCAAATGAGGAAACCAAGCCTCAAGGGTCAAAGGCAAAGTGTCAAGGCCACCAGCGAGTTGGAGATGTAGTCAGGAATGACATCAAATTCTGTTTTCTTCATCCTGGTAGTGGCTATTTCCTATTACGTTCAAATTTATTCAGACAGGATTCAAATAAAATATTTTAAAACTAGCCCGTCAATCATGGTTTTTAAATAGTATGGTCAGGGATGGGTGGGAGGAGAGGGTGCCCATTGGGAAAATGCCACCTGAGTGTCTGGGGAAATCTGTTCCTGAGAAACGCAGAGCTGAGGCCACAGGGCAGGAGTGCTGGAGTGTGTTGGAGGAGCAAGAAGGAGACCAGTGTTGGGAACCAGCAGTTAGCGTAATGGCTATGTCGCTGGACTCCCACGTAGTCGACCGCGGTTCGTGTCCCGGACCCAGTGGCTTAAAACTCACGCCGGGCGCATGTGCGTGCATGCCCAAGATCCTGAGAGGAGAATGGAGGAGAAGGGATTGCAGCGTGACCATCCCCGCTGGGGGGTGATTTCTCGCTTTCTGTCTCTATGTCTCTCTCTGTCTGTCTGGCGAGCGCACGCGCCCTACAGTGAAAATCTCTCCAGAAAAAAAAAAAGAAGGAGACCAGTGTTGTTTGGAAATGAGAGGAGAGGAGACTGTCGATGGGCAGGGGGAAATGCAGACTGTGTGGGTCTTTGTGAGAACTGGGGCTTTCACCCTGCGTGTAACAGGGACTATTGCAAGGCTCTGAGCAAAGAAGCGACTAGCTCTGACCTGTGTTTTAACAGTCTCCCTGGCTGCTGAGGTGGAGAGAACTTAATGAGCCAAGGGCAGAAGCAAGAGGAGGAAGCAGAGAGCTAATTCCAGTAGGAAGAGAGCTAATGCTGTCTAGGGAGACTGGCCAGGTGACGGCAGTGGAGGTAGAGAGAAGTCAGCTCCTGGAAGCCTTTTGAAGACAAATCCAACAAAGTTTGACAATTCGATGTGAATTTAGAGAAAATGGCAGGAGTTACAAATGACTCCCAGGCTTATGGCATGAGCAACTGACAGGATGAGATTCTAGAAACTGGGATAGGGACAATTTGGGTGAGGACTGAAGAACAGTAGGCATCAAGTGGAGGCCACCTAAGCAGGTGGATTTAATCTAGAGTGTAGGTGAGAGTTTCAACTAGAGAAATAAATTGGTTAAGCTAACCTCATAGATGGCATGTAAAGCCATGTGATGGATGAGATGACAGAGTAGAAGAGAACACAGATGAGAAGAGGTATTGGTTAAACAGTAAAAAGTAGGAGCGGGCCAGGATCCCCTGTGCTGCAGTGGTAAAACACAGCTCTCTGTGAGGCGATCCCACATGGGAAAGTTCCCAGTTGATCAGAGACCTCCCTGAGTATGCCAGCCATGTGCGTGCCATGATCTGGGGCTGGTTGGATGCTGCAGATGAATCATGGTGTAAGGACCCTATTGAGGGCTGTCTGCCTGTCTGAGACATCGCTCTCACTCGCAGAGTAAATAAGGAAAGAAACTTGTAATAAATGGGGAGATGGCAGGTATCAAGGAGGAGCAGACATTGAGGTTGGCAGTACACCAGCAGAGTGCAGCACCCTGGCATGCAGAGAAGAAAGATTCCATGCAGAATTAAAGAAGTACAGCACATCAGAAAAAAGAAAGAAAGAAAAGAAAAGAAAAAAGAAAAAAGAAAGAAAGAAAAAAGAATTACAGCACAGTAATGCTTCATTTGACCACAAGTGAAATTTGAATTTCAGTATTTGTCCTTAGAGTCCATCAATTTTTTTCTAAAAGTATGATTTATTTTAAAAAATTCTTTTAATTTTTAAAATTTACATTCTACCATTGTACATCTCTATAGCTCACAATATGCTCAAAGTATGTATGCAGCACGTGACAAGCAAATCAAGGCTATTACCACAAACGTCAGCTTCAACAGAGAATGTTACATTTGTTCATAGGGTTCCTCAGTTTTAACATGCATATTACTAACAACACCTGTGTCAGCATTTCTAAGAATATATTTTAATAAAAAATATATAGTTTGTAGAAAGAAAATGATTGTAGAACCACTATCCTCAATTATTCCCATTTCTCAAGATGCAGATGCTCCCTGACTTACGATGGTGTGACTTAAGATTTTGACTTTACAATAGGTTTATTGGGGCCTAATCCCATCGTAAGATGAGGAGCATCTGCACAAGTGCATGTAAAGCCTCTTAACACCTGAGTGAACAAGAGCAAATGCATTCTTGCTCTCCTTGGAGAGTCACTGTTGATGCCTCCTTTCAGGGAAACAATAGCACCTGCTTTTCTGTCCCCAGTCGGTGAGAGTGGGGCAGCGTGACCTTGCCTGCACAGCGACCCAATCCCCGCTGAGCCTGCAGGCATGCCTGGATTCAGGTACTTCCGCTCGCGGAAATGCCTCTTCACATTTCCTTATTATAGAAAAAAGTGCACACTTTAGTCTTGTCTCCACCTAATAAATAAATGAAGCAGAATGTGGTAATCAATCTAGATTTAAAAATAAAATGCCTAGTAACTGACATGATGCTCTGATGCACACCATCAGTTTTTTCCTTAAGCGGCACCAATTAGCAGCCAGGGAGAGCTCTAGGCTTGTGAACTGTACAGCAGTCTTTCTTTCTTTAGCATGCTGCAGAAAACTTAAGAGAAGTTCTGTTACAAGAGCTTTCTGTCCTCCCTCCTTTTGTGACCTTGCTGCCTCTGCCACCTGCAGGGTCCCCGCGTGGATCTCTTCTTCTCTGCCTTTCTGTAGCTCCTGCTGCCTGCTGCATTTTCTTTTTTCTGCTGCTGCTGGAGCTGCTGGCAGCTGATTTCAGCCCACAGATCACTCTCTTCCAGGCACTGCTGCAGCCTTCTCATGGAGAGACCCCTTCTGGGCTGACTGTGTTCACACTAAAGGGTGCAAATGTTACTCTAATTCTGTAGCTCTTGGGAGCATTTCCATCTAAATGTCTTCATGAGGGCAGGGATTCTTTATCTGCCTCAGACACTAGTATTTTTAAAGGTGGAGTACTGGGGCTGGCAGGTGGCACGGTGGTTAAGGCACTGGACTCCCAGGTAGCTGACTGCAGTTCAAGTCCAGACCCTGGTGGCTTGCTTTCTCACTTTCCCTCTCTCTGTCTCTCTGTAGTCAAATTAAAAAAAAAAAATACAATAGATGAAGTTAAACAAATAATGCTTTAAGAAATAAATAAAATAGGGGACCAGCAGTTAGCGTAATGGCTATGTCGCTGGACTCCCATGTGGTCGACCGTGGTTCAAGTCCTGGATCTGGTGGCTTAAACTCATGCCGGGCATGTGTGTGTGTGCGTGCCCAAGATCCCAAGAGGAGAATAGAAGAGAAGGGATTGCAGTGTGACCATCCCCCCCTGGGGGTGATTTCTTGCTTTCTGTCTCTCTCTGTCTTTCTGGCGAGTGCATGCACCCTGTAGCAAAAACCTCTCCTAAATAAATAAATAAATAAATAAATAAGAAAGTGGATTCCTGGTACGCAGCTCCCTGGAAGGGTAACCACCTCGTCACAGACAAAACCCTATGCTTAGGATGCTGCTGCTCTCTCATCTTCACCAGCCCTTCCTGATAGTCTCCCCCAGCATCAGGGCCTGGAAACTGGCACCTGGCACCTTGTGATTTTAACCCACACTCACCACTCTGAATGAACCAGAAGAGTTTGCTTTAGAGGAGGGCTGAGAGTGCATCCACAAGCAGCTTCTGAAACAGGCAGTTAGAGGAGATACAGGTGAGCAGGTTTCACCTGCCACTGAGCACCCAGGGCCCACAGGCCGCCTCCCCACCTGCCCCATCCCTGGCACTGTTAGTAAGGGCACACCCCATCCGAAAGAATTGCAGAGCAATCATTCCCCCGTGTGGGGTGCTTTCTTATTTTTCCTCTCTGTCTCCTGCAAGTGTATCATGCCCTCTGGCTAAACAGAGAATTAAGAATCTGAACTAAATTGCACTGTAAACCAAATGGACTTAATTTGACATTTATAAAACATTTCATTCAGCAGATGCAGGATGCACGCTCATCAGCACCCTGGAGCATTCTCCAGGATAAACTATATGTAAGACTACAAAATAAGTCTCAAAAAAAAAAATTAGGGATCAGCAGTTAGCTGGATATGTCGCTGCACTCCCACGTAGTTGACCGCAGTTCAAGTCCCTGACCTGGTGGCTTAAACTCACAGTGGACGCATGTGCGTGCGTGCCCAAGATCCCATGAGGAGAATGGAGGAGAAGGGATTGTGGCATGGAATCCCCCCTGGGGAGTGACTTCTCACTTTCTGTCTCTCTGTCTCTCTCTGTCTTTCTGGCGAGCACACACGCCCTATAGCAAAAACCTCTCCCCCCCCAAAAAAAAAGAATAAAAAAAATTAAAGTCTGTATCGAGTACACTTTCTGACCACAATGGATCAAAATAGAAATTAGTAGAAAGAGGGGACTTAGGAAACTGTAAAGATTCATGGGATTAAACATCATGCTCCTGGACCACTGGGCCAATGGAGGGATTAAGTAGGAAATTTAAATATTTCTCAAAACAAATGAAAATGAGAACACAACACAGGGAAACCTATGGGATACAACAAACACGGCACTAAGAAGGATGTTTATAGGAATAAACACCTTCATCTAAGAAGTTGAAAGGTTTCAAATACCTAACAATGCACTCAAGGAGCCAGCAAAGGAAGCGCACGCCAAACTTAGAAGGAAAGGAAGAGTTAAGGACGACAGCAGAACTAAGTGAAATGATTAAGAAAAATCTTTGAGTTTTATTTTTTTTTCCTTTTAAAAGTTTG